ACTTCTTCAGGTCGGTCAAAGCGGCTTCGCATTCTTCTGTCCACAGGAAGTCTGTGGCTTTTTTCACTAGGTTGAAGAAGGGTCTGCACTTATCTGAGCTTCTGCTGATGAATCTGTTTAGGGCTGCGGCCCTTCCAGTAAGCACTTGAACTTGTTTTGCCGTCTCGGGCTAAGAGCATGTCATTGGTGCCATTCTCTACTCCCTGGGTTCTGATCCCTGGGATGCCGATCTCCAATGGGATGACTGCTTCTGTGCCATAAGCCATGGCAAAGGGGGATTCTCCTGTTGATCTTCTCGGCGTAGTCCGATATGCCCAAAGTACGTTGGGCAACTCGTCTACCCACTTTCCTTTTGCTGCCTGCAGCCTCTTCTTTATTCCATCTAGAATTACTTTGTTGGATGCCTCTGCTTGCCCATTGCTTTGAGGAAAACTTGGTGTTGAGAAATAATTCTTGATCTTGAATTTTTCACAAAAGTTCTTGATGAGTTTGCTGTCAAACTGTGTTCCGTTGTCGGCAATTATTGCTCTTGGAATCCCAAATCTGGTGATAATGTTTTTCCATATAAAATTCTTGACGTCCACATCTCGGATTTTGGCAAGAGGTTCTGCCTCTATCCATTTTGTAAAGTAGTCTGTTGCTACCAGCAAGTATTTTCTCTGTCCAGTTGCCTGGGGAAGTTGTCCAACCAGATCCATGCCCCATTGGGCAAACGGCCAAGGGCTGGATACTGGGTTTAGGTCAGGAGCTGGCTGATGTATCAAAGGTGCAAACCTTTGGCATTGTTCACATTTCTTCACATAGGCTTCGGCATCCTTTTGCATGTAGGGCCACCAATACCCCTGGGTCATGGCCCTGTGGGCTAATGATCTGCCCCCAGCATGGCTTCCACAAATTCCTTCATGAATCTCGTAAAGGAAATCTTCAACCTGAAAAGGATGTACGCACCTTAAAAGAGGTCCAGTGAAGGACCTCCTGTAGAGATGGCCTTCTGCTGTTAGACTGAATCTGGCCGACTTCAGCCTGATTTTATGTGCTTCCTTATGGTCTTCTGGCAGCTTCCCCTCTTTTAGGAATGCAATGATTGCATCCATCCAGCTTGGTCCCAAGTCCACGCACATTGATTCTTGTTCGGTGCTCTGTTTATCTATGCTCGGGGCCGACATGTAGTCGATCATAATTGTCCTTGTTTTTCCAGTTTGAATTGAGCTGGCCAGGTTAGCCAATGCGTTGGCGTGGGTGTTGTCATCTCGGCTAACTTGGAGCAGTCTGCAGTTCTGAAATAAGGCTGCCAATCTGATGACTTCCTTTGCATATGCCGACATTCATTCGTCCCTGGCTGCAAATTCTCCTGTTGACTGGTTAACAATGAGTTGTGAATCATAAAAAACAATTACCTCATCTGCTTCTGCTGCTGCTGCCAGCTTTAGCCCTGCAATTAATGCTTCATATTCTGCCTCATTGTTTGAGGCTTTGAACCCCAAACGGATGGACTGTTCTACTATTTCTCCATCTGGAGATATCAGCAGTACTCCTGCCCCTGCTCCCTGGCGGTTTGAACTTCCATCGACGAATAGTCTGAATGTATCGCCGATGTAGATGCTGCAGGGTCTGAGCATTTCCTTCTCTTGCTTTTTTGTATTTGGCTGGATTTTTTTTGCTTGTTGGGACAATGCTCATCTTCGCTCGACGGAGCCTGATGTGCGATGGTTTCAGGTGTGAGTTCTGCGATGAAGTCGGCCAAAACTTGACCCTTTATTGCTGTTCTCGGCCTGAACTCCAGGTCAAACTGGCCCAGGGTTATAGCCCATCTTGCTATCCTTCCTGTTAAGTCTCCTTGTTGCAACAAGGATTTCAGTGGGTGCTCTGTTAGGACCACAATCTTGTGTGCCTGAAAGTAATGGTTCAACTTCTTTGAAGCCATTACTAAGGCCAGCATTAATTTTTCCAGTGGTAGGTATCTTGTTTCTGCGTCGGCCAAAGTTTTACTTACATAATAAACTGCCTTTTGCTCCCCTTCTTCCTCTCGGATTAGCACTGCACTGATTGCGTGTTCTGAGACTGCTAAGTACAAAAACAGTTCCTCCCCTGGTACTGGGTTGGAAAGAACCGGAGTTGTGGTCAAGTACTTTTTTAGGTCGGTTAAGGCGGCTTCACATTCTTCTGTCCATAGGAAGTCTGCGGCTTTTTTCACCAGTTTGAAGAAGGGTCTGCACTTATCTGAACTTCTGCTGATGAATCTGTTTAGGGCTGCGGCCCTTCCAGTAAGCATTTGAACTTGCTTTGCCGATGTCGGGCTCTGTAGTTCCATGATGGCCTTGATTTGGTCTGGGCTGGCCTCAATGCCCTTTCTTGTTACCAAATACCCCAAAAATTTACCTGATCCAACTCCAAAGGCGCACTTCGAGGCGTTAAGTCGGAGCCGATATCTTTTGAGTATGTTGAAGACCTCTTTTAGGTCAGCAAGATGACCCCTTGATTCCTTGGTCTTCACGACCATATCCTTGATGTAGACTTCTACTGTTTTGCCAATCAGGTGTTTAAACATCTTTGTCACTAACCTCTGATAGGTTGCTCCTGCGTTTTTTAACCCAAAAGGCATTACCTTGTAACAGTACAGGCCTTTAGGGGTGATGAACGCGGTCTTCTCCTCGTCTGGAGGGTACATGGTAATCTGGTGGTACCCTCTGTATGCATCTAGAAAACTCATTCTTTCATGTCCTGAAGTAGCATCTACCAGTTGGTCGATCTTGGGCAGAGGAAAGCTGTCTTTGGGGCAGGCTTTGTTGAGGCTGGTAAAGTCTACACAAACCCTCCATTTGCCATTCTTCTTTTTTACTACTACTGTGTTGGGCAGCCACGTTGGGTACTGAACTTCTCGGATGGCCTTGGCCTCCAGGAGTCTGTCTATCTCTTCTTCTACTGCTTCGACGTGCATCAACGTCGGTCTTCTGGCTCGTTGAATCACAGGTTTTGCCGACCTGTCGACATTCAGTCTGTGGCAAGTGACCTCGGGGTCAATCCCAGGCATTTCGTAAGGTGTCCAGGCAAACACCTCTATGTTTGCCCTCAAAAAATCTTCCAGTTCTCTCTCTTCTTCTCTAGCTAATCCTGAGCCGAGAAGAAAGAAGCGCTCTTCGTCGCCCTCTTGGATGAAAACTTTTTTTAGCGCCTCTTCGCTCTTTTCGGCTGGTTCTTTCCCGACGTCTTCTAGGACCTCCATGTCCTCATCTTCAACTTCTGCTTTCCTTGGCTCCCGTATACTACAGGTGGACTTCATTGCTGTCATGGAGCAATTTTTTGCTTGCAGTTGATCTCCTCTGACTTCTTCAATCCCATGCTCTGTTAGGAACTGTAGTAGTTGATGCAACGTTGAGGGAACTGCCCCCATTGCATGCAACCATGGCCTTCCCAAGATGATGTTGTATGGTGAGGGCGTGTCAATTACCAAAAATTCCGTCTTCATTTTCTTAGTGCCGGCTTGTACTTCCAAGCTTGTTGCGCCCAGTGGCCATGTCGGCGTTCCATTGAAGCCGACCATCGGGCCGTTGGATTGCTCCATGTCGTCTGGGTGAAGGCCTAGCTCCTTGTAACATCTAACGTACATGATGTCACAAGAGCTGCCTTGATCTATTAGGATGCGTTTCACTTGGCACTCCCCAACCTGGAGGGATACTACCAAGGCATCAT